AACCTACTTTGGCCAACATTGTGTGATACGGCAGACAGTGATTAAGCATACTTAACACATGTTCCAGCGATCTCAGTTGATGAAGGTTGACAACCGCATCAACTGACTTACCTCTTCTGTTTAAAACTTCACGTCTGGCTTCTGCGTTGCTGACGTGGTGACACCACGGAATACGGCATATACTGTGAAGGCAACGGTGGTCAAACACCTGAAGCCTTCTCATGTCTTCTGCCTCTAATAACCATGTTTCACACCCGTACAATAGAACAGGGCGGACTACAGTACAGTAGACTTGACCCTTAATAGACAGTCGGATATCGCGGCGGTACCACCGATCCTTTTGTATCCGTACAGGGATTTGGTCGGCTACTGAGCCAGCTACCAGGGTTGATCTCACTTCCCAGGTAAGTGAAGTGTTCACCTCATTCAACCAATTCACTCAATTGTTAGCCTCTACTCTAAGCGAGTGCATGGAGTTAATGTGGAGTGCCTTTCGATTTCTAGCTAAATTGACCATTATCCACATACAAAGCAAAGATAATAAACTAAAAAAACTTTTGTTAACCAGGGAGCACTGTTTGCACATCTCCGTCGTTGATTGGACCGAATTAATCGACCACCATTGGCATATGGACCCCCATACGGATGTCCGATATTGCTGGTATTTTCAGCTTGATACTAATGATAGAAAATCCAAAAACACGTTTCGTCCTACTCAGGACTAGTTGACTAGATGTACGTATCTGCCAGTAGGTAATTTTGTTCCCAGTAAGACTCGAACACAAGATCAATCACTTCAAACGCTAGACGGTTATCCACTAGGCCACCGAGTCATATACAACGAGTATAGTATAAACTTTGATGTTATAGCTTGTACATCTCCATCGGATGGGCATCCTAGATTCCACTCCTGGCCATTATTCATTGATGAAAGTATTGTTTCATGTCAGTTTGGGACTTCTCTGAAATGTCTACTAATATGCATCACTAACTCACTTTGTTCAGGCATTTCTCGAAGGTTGTTCACGAAATTACTAGTAGTCAATCAAGTTCAATGTAAAGAAAATAACTGATCATATTGTATATGACTTGCAGTATCTCAGGGATTCACAAAAGTTGAAATATTAACCTAATTGGATTGTAACCCAATGGTTGAGTGATAAAACATTCACTTCGATACTGGATGATCTTCAATTCAACCCTCGAATAGCGTAGCACATGTGGATGTTTTCAAAGCAAAAATAACAAACATTGAACAAGGAATCGAATTCATACTTCGTGTGCTCTAAATCATCCACATATACTTTAAATTGGAAGATTATACACAGTGAGCTATCAGTGTCTAGCATAAGTCATTTCCTATATTTGAATAGTAAAATCAACATCAAATGCGTCTTTTATACCTAAACATGGATGAGAATAAAGATGAATAACAAAATTGACGATCTTAATTAACCAATACTGAAAACAAGTAACAATAAATTATACTATAAAATCGATCAGATAACAATACGACATGATGGTAATATACACATATGATTGCGCCTCAAAGTGGTAAACATTTTAATGAAAGAGGGAGGGAAACAACAAAGATGGTGTACGAAACTGTATGAATTTGTGGTAGAGGAATGGAAAAGGATATGGTAACAACTATGATTAAGATATAACGGGTTATAGTAAACCAGAAATGATGAGAATATATATGAATGGTGTATATACAAGACAATAAGATGAAAGAATGAAATCGTAAATAAAGTTATAGGCAAAGAACAATTCACCAAGGCAATGCAAGGTGAACGATAAACTCCTTTTTTTATATGTAAGTTTGATTTCAATCGACGAATCGCAGCTGCTTCTGTATAACGTAGTAGTCTACTATTTCTTTGTCTATTGATTACCTTGAAAGATATGCGTAAGTCAATGGCTTTGACATGTATAGAGGACGTGTTTAGCAATGCGACTGGTTGGTACCCTTCCACCTTTCATAGATAGGCTTTTCAGCATGTTTTGTAAACTTCAGGATCAAAATTTGATCTGATAGAGTTGAATAGATTGAGCATTGGGTAATTGAATTATAAATGAAATACCATTTTGTAAAATCCCAATAAAGTAGAAAAATAAATTTCTGACGTTTCACAACTTCATGGAAATCGCTTTTGCTTTAGAGAATAAAACTGGTACATGTTATCGAATAGTTTAAACAGTGAAAGGTGACGAACCAGATCACATTGTCTGTCTATTCATGATGATAATATGAATGTGAATGTCATCGTTATGCTGGTCAGGAAGCGTTCACAAGAATAGCAAGACATTTCACATTATGTTGATTCCTAATGCACTCGGATAACAGAAAGGAAGGACTAACTATCCAACCAACCTGGACAGTATTTCCAAAAACAACACATTACACACAATGATCTGATCAAAAGTACATACACACAAACAAACGGAATTTGTCATCCATATTATTTATTTATTTATTCTTACATTATCACACCCAGTTACATATACACATATTCATATCACCTTGAACTCTAGACTAATTAACTCATAAACAAAAACAAATTGTTAACCCTTCCTGACGAGCATAACGATGACATTCACGTTCATATTATTATCATGTATAGACAGACAATGTGATCTGATTCATCACCTTTTACTATTTAAACTATTCGATAACATGTACAAGTTTTATTATTCTGTGAAGTAGAAGCGATTTCCACGAAGTTGCGAAACGTACATACACACAAACAAACCGAATTTGTCATCCATATTATTTAGAAGTAGAATTCATTATGTACTGACATAACCTGAGGAACCATTGAAGATCTGTGAGCATTGGACAGCTGTTTCGTCCTAGTATGGGACTCCTCCTTGGGTGACAGTCGCGATATGTCGTGAATTGACAGAAGTTGGAAATTGTGAACCACTGCAAACTGACCCAGTGACTGAATGGTTAACGCTTTCGTCGTGAACCTGAAGGTCGTGATTCCAATCCCTAGCCGAGTCGTGGGTGCGTACTGCTGAGGAGACCCATACTAGGACGAAACAGCTGTCCAATGCTCACAGATTTTCAATGGTTCCTCAGCTTATGTCAGTCCATGATGAATACTACTTCTAAATAATATGGATGACAAATTCGGTTTGTTTGTGTGTATGTACGTTTCGCGACTTCGTGGAAATCGCTTCTACTTCACAGAATAATAAAACTTGTACATGTTATCGAATAGTTTAAATAGTAAAAGGTGACGAATCAGATCACATTGTCTGTCTATACATGATAATAACATGAACGTGAATGTCATCGTTATACTGATCAGGAAGCGTTAACAATTTGTTTTTGGTTATGAGTTAATTAGTCTGGAGTTCATATTATCATCATGTATAGATAATATGATCTGATTCGTCACCTTTTACTATTTTTTCGCTACATGTTCAAAGATTTATTTTGTAAGGAAAAACGCTCTCTGTTCTACTAACATTACACGCTTTTGCAGGTACAGGTGAATAAATAGATACAATCGGGAGTAATATGGGGTAACACTTTCTCTTAACATGCTCTTCTTGGTATAGAGAACTGTTAATTTTTCAGCTAGAGAAGTTAGTGCGATACAAGCTTCCATTTGGCGGTTATTTTGTGAACTCAGTTCATCACCTTTGAATGGTAGTCTGTTGAACACGTTCTTTTTCTTATATCATCCAGTTCATTTTCGATAACTTCCTTGAAGCATAGTCTGGTCACCTTTATTAACATAGTCTCACCTAGACTTCTTTTATAAGCGCTGAGATGAAAACTATTAAACGCGGAAATACTGACCAATCCAAATAGGCTTATAATAAATCCTGTGTAGCATCGAACCACTTCATTTCCAAGAAATTTATTCCATCTAACGGTTCATGTTCATATTTGAATGAACTGAATTGAAAGATCTAAGTAGGTTCCTCGCGTGGATTTCACTTTCATACATGATGAAAATATCATCTGCATATATCAAATACAATTTTGTCTGTTTCATGGCATGGTATTCTCTAAGTGGTCTAGCAATATGTCTGAAAATAAGGGACCAAGAGAAATGGCCATAACCACACCTTCTGTATGTATATAATACGAATGAAAGTAGGTGTTCATTGCTCACTGGTTTTCATTGGTTCTTTAACTGATTATGATTCATGATGAGACGCATCATTTCTTGGCAAATATTTTAGATATATTGTATTTATAGATGAGCTATGATTGTCACTTCTTATTGGCAAGACAGGCAAGTTGATTGGTAAGGTCATGAACCTTAGTCGACTGAGATGGTTTGGACATGTACTGCTCATGCTGTGCCACAGCATACCTCGACCTGCTATGCTACGGAAAGTTGAATTATGTTGAGTGGAACAAGATATGATACCAGTCGACTAAATCTCTTACTGCTGGTATATTATACTGTGAATTTCTTTCCAATGAATTCGGAACGAAAGCGATTCTCTAACAATAAACCAAAACATAGGATTTGTCTGAAATGCAGTTCTGTTCGAATAGTAAATTATAAAACATAGAAACCGTAAGGTATCTATGAATTTATCATCATCAAAGCACTTTCCAGAGAGTGGGTTAACAATACAACTGCAAGGCTATGTGCAAGCCAAGCGTGAAGGGGAATTTAAAAGACGCGCGTAACTTGAGATCAGCTAGAGACACGAGATAAACAAATATTCGAAGTAAAATAGAACATGAAAGAACAACAAAAGGGATCTAAACACCGTAGTGAACGGAGAAGAATACTAATATTTAGGGATGTTAAATGATGGACAAGATACGGTTGAATAGAATGAGCAGTCATCTAGTTGGGTGAAGTAACATTATAGGAAAACGTGAATTTCGTCAGTTGATTTATACTACTTAATAATACTGAGTAGTATAAACACAAAGGCGGAAAATATGAACGAGAACATAAGAGAAAAAATTAACATACGCATTCATTCTGTAGTGGTGTTTTCTCTTCTTGACATAGGTCACAAATATTAAATCAATTTATATTGATGTTTCTCAAACAACAATAACTAATTCACATGATCACTCAAAATGGGCTGTTACTATGCCACCAAAGAAGACAAGTGAAGACGGTGATAATTGGATTTGTTTAGGTGACATTAATCGTCAGGTAAGAATTGTTTAGTGTAACCTTTTGTGTACCAGTTGAATTCAGGTATGTACTGTCCAGAAATATGAAGGTATTACTTAGTCTTCTGTCTTGTGAAAACATTGTAGAATAAATATGAATAATTGTTTTAAAAAAAAGAAAGAAGTGATCGGTATTTGTATGAGATATCGCTTGTTGAATAAGAGATCCAACTTTAAACGAGTGGATCATGACTTCGTAACTGTCTAACGGTCTGAGTTGCCACACCTCATAACAGCACATTACAGTCAAAGGATCAAGAAAAAGGAAGAAAGTAATCAGAAGTTTTCAATGGCAAACAAGAAGTAATGAGACAAATAGAAGTTCAGTGATGGGGCGAATAGCTCAGTAGTAATGTCGATTAATTCAACAATAAGTGACGCGGGGTTTGAACCGCAGAGGGTATATCAGTTCCTTTGAGGTTGGAGATATGCCTTGCTGCCGAGTTTGAACGAGCGCGGAGCCTGTGTCAGGTACGCTGATTGCCTTCAAGTTGGTATTCATCGTGAACTGGTATCAGTTGGAGGAACATTAGAAACCTGGGAGCAGTGGGCACCCACGGCCCGCCAGGGAGCGGAATCACGACCTTCAGGTTCTGTGGCCAGCATGTTACCACTCAGCCACTGGGTCAGAATCCAATCGTCCATATTTCCAACTCATATCAGTTCACCATATAGAGCAACCATCACCCAATGTCATTGTTGACTATTTGTCCTCACAGCCACCAGGTTTACCTCACCGTTGACGACTTCTCATTCAACTTCGGGAATCACCTTTCGGAGCCAGTTACCGATGAGCACCTCCATAAATTCAATTGATCTAGTGGTCATTGGTGACTAGCTTCGAGAGATGATTTCCCAAGTTCCAATGAGAAGTTATGACCAGTGGGGCAAACCTGGTGAATATGAGACAAATACTCAATGATAACACTATGCAGTGAACTGATAGAATTTGGAAATATAGACCACTGGATTCCGCGAAACCAGTTGCTCAATGGTAACATGTTGGTTACGGGTACGCACTTCTGGACGAAACAGCTGTTCAGTGCTCCCAGGTTTCTAATGTTCCTCTAAGTGACATCAATCCATGATGAATAACAACTTGAAAAAATCTCTAAATCCCCACAACCCCTAAATTCAATTGATTGCCTTCAACCAACTAAGAAAGAAGAAATTGAGTATGCTGATTAGGATGATTTGTAATATATCTGAGCTACTGGGAGTGATTATTAGGCATATCACCTAGAATCTCCACTCAACGATTTTGATTGTTACATGGATTCCAACTGGAAACTTTATATTCTCCTACACGGAAATAGATAGTGACTAGACATGCATAGCACTTGTCCAAGGCATCTAAGTTGATGGATGTTCAATGGATTACATCCTTTGTCTAAAACTCTACCCCTGACTTCTGGGTTAGTAACGTAATGGATGTATGACACATGTATGTACGATACATAATCTATACTACAAAGAGGACGATGTTTAAACACCTGAAAAATTGCTTATTATTGTTTACTCACTATTATTTACAATGATCAATATATATTTTCCGCCTGCTCTTCCATTTCAGAATTCATGTCATGCCATACATCTTGTAAGATAGTTTTCACAGACTTTTACTAGGAATCATCCACTTTTGAAGAGGTTAGAAATGTACAAAGCTACGTCTAAACACTAAATACCTTGAAACTGCATGATGAATGAAGGTTGAGTGGAAATCTAAGTGGTGGCCTAGATTCGAACTAATGAACTGAGAGTTACCAACCTGCACTCTGTTAAATAAATTACAAGATACAACTGATCATTAGGTCTTAGCTCAACTTTAACTACAGAAGTTGCTTAATAATTTATAAGAGAATAAAGGTTCATCAACAAGTAAAGTGAGAAATTGTAGACAGATGTGAAATGAGATGGTTAACAATTCATTTGATAGGTGTAAAGAATCTGAAGACTGAAACAAAATTCACAATGAAAGTGATTAATTATATTGAAAATTGAAAAAAAAAAACTCGGAGAAGGATTGATAATACAACAGAATAAGAGATTGAATTACTTCTTATGTACACATAGATCAGGCTTGAGTTGATAAATTACCAACACTTTTGCCATGGATAAATTTCGAAATAGAATATATACTTCATATTGAAGTTACAGGTGATAATGTATTATCTTGGAAGATAATGAAAGCTTCATACGTAAAACTTATCCGATTCAGAGAAGACAATATAATCAAAATCATTCAAATGGGCTTTAAATACACTCCATAACTTTATCATTTTCAGTAAACAATGAATACCTTTATCTTAATGATATAAGTGGAAAACTTGAGAACTATGATAGATATAATTCCATATTCTATTTGTTTATTTGATTTGTAACACACAAAGTGAGTGATAGAGTACTATTCACTGGGTGGTTTTCAGCACAAATCACTTATTCCTCATAATCATGTCAATGTAAGCACACTACTCTCAACATATGTGTTTTATAGTCCTATCACCTCACATTGTTTGTTTCTATTGGTAGTAAACTTTTCCATATCTCTAGTGTAGAGGTGTTGCATCATTCCTATTCCACATGTGATGGGTGTTGGCTGTTTCGATGAAGAAAGATTCGTTAATCAATCTTTCCCCCTCTCTCTCTCCACCTAATTATGTTGGACTGAAGTACAGTGGCTTTATTCCATCCATCGTATTGTGTAGTTGTGTGTTACTAAGCATCCGTTCCAATAGATGAGTGTTTTTCTAGATCACTGATATTATTTGGGTGTGTCATTCTATATTTCGCTAAATTCCTATGTTTCGCTGTTCTAACTGACCCCCACCGGCTAGTTTCACGTGTATGTACTTCACCTCATAGTCATTACATGAAGCTCGATAGATTATATTATTTCGCTTAATTTGTTCTTCGGAGTTAAGCTTTATCGGCTTAAGGATCCAAATTCCATGTAATGACTGTGAGGTCAAGTACATACGTGAAACTAGCCGGTCGGGGTCAGTTAGAACAGCGGACCACAGGAATTTAGCTAAATGTAGGATGACAGATCTGATTAAGATCAATAATCTAGAAAGTAACTCAGCTATTGAAATGGATGCTTAGTAACACACAACTACACAATACAATGGATGGAATAAAGCCACTGTACTTCAGTCCAACATAATTAGGTGGAGAGAGAGAGGGGGAAAGATTGATTAACGAATCTTTCTTCATCGAATCAGCCAACACCCATCACATATGGAATAGGAATGATGCAACACCTCTACACTAGAGATATGGAAAAGTTTACTACCAATAGAAACAAACAATGTGATGTGATAGGACTATAAAACACATATGTTGAGAGTAGTGTGCTTACATTGACATGATTATGACGAATAAGTAATTTGTGCTGGAAACATCATCCAGTGAATAGTACTCTATCACTCACTATGTGTGCCGATAGATATTTTTTTTTGGAAAATGATGTTGTTAGTATCATTCATATTGAATATGGATATTTGCAAGTAAACTGATGTAGAACTTTGAAGAAGACGGAGATTCAAGTTGATACTTATCGAAATAAGGCAGAAAGGAGAAATTCACAAAACATGACAAAATACATGTGAAGGAAAAATACAGATGAATAATAATAGAATTATTCATCTTAGTGACTAGCAGTAGAGTCTAGGACGCACGTCTAACCCGATTTGAAATTCGTCAGCTGAATGTCACTGCACCTCAATGAGGCTCGAACCCAGTATCCATTACTTTAAACACCAAAGCGTCATCCCTTAGGGCACTGGGGCACAGGAGCCAATTGATGAGTCCCGAACAACACGAAACGCGCTTCCTGAATTCCACTACTAGTTACCAAGACTAATAAAACATCATAAATATCCAGCAGTTTAGAGACATCCAAATAGAAGCCCATCTGCCAATAACAGACGTCGAGGAACGAGGAATTACAAGTATCAAAACAAGAAGTTACAATCTAGTCCTACTTCATGTAATACTGAGCATTGAAGTAGACAACATGTAGATAAGATATGCTCTGATCATCTCAGTATAAGTTCTACAACTTCATCTTTTAGCATTGTCAGCTTGCTTTAACAACGCCCATCCATACAACTAATAAGAAAAGCTAACGATGGATCGCGGTTAGCAGTGGAACCTAGAATGCGCGCTTTGTCCTACCTGGGGATCGTCAGCCGGATGTACCTGCTTCCCAGTGAATGATATTGTTCCCTCCGGAAATCGGACTCTGGGGCGAATGCCTCAAACGCCAGGACGTTTTCTACTACACCACCGAACCACGATAGATGCTCCTTGCTCGACGGGTATAGTTTTAGTATAATTGTTTCTCCCGGTGGGAACAACATCACTCACTGGGAAGCAGGTACATCCAACTGACGAGTCCTAAATAGGACGAAAATGCGCATCCTGGATTCCACTGCTAGCCACGATCCATTATTAATACAAATTAAAACGCAGGCAATATCGAGGCATCCGCACAGGAGCTCATATGCCAATAGAGACCTATCAATTCGGTCCAAGCAACGACGGTATCATATAGAAATAATTATACTAATAAGAAAAACTGTTGTTGTTTTTTTCAACGTTACATTTAAAACAATATTTTTGAACTATTCCAAACAGTAATCAAAGCATTACTGATTAGTTTAGCTTATTCATGTTATTACTCTTTGATTTTTTCTTTTAGCCTCATCAATTAGAACGTGGTGGTGGTACAATGTGTATACAAGATAAACATTTATGGGAATCATTCTATAATCTTATTCAAAGTGTAGAACAATGTCCTAGACAATTTTTACACCATAAACTCATTCAATTTTGGTCAATTATAGAAATTGTTCACTTCTATGTATAAACTGTCTTATGAAATTTTTATTACTGTTTATTCTTTTGAAATTTTCCACAAAAAAACAATAATTATTACTGATTTGTCTACAACAATCTGTTACTATTGTTACCAAATTGTTGTTATATATCCATGATGCTAAACAGTCAGTCATTTTTTTATTCCATACTCATAAGATTCTATGGTCAGTAACGTTATTCACATTCCTACTAGTACAACGGTTACCTTCTAGTGATCAGTCACAATCTTAGAAGCAGTTAGTCCTATTAATGATGGATAGTTGCTAGGATTAGAATCTAAGATGCGTATTTCGTCCTATTCAGGACTCCTCAGCTGATGAATGTACCTGCCTCTCAATGAGCAATGTTGTTCTCATTAAAACTCAGAGTCATAGCTGTAAAGTTTAAGGGTAAAATTTCTTATTTCACTCGATAGTGAGTTATGCTCATTCGAACCCCATAGGGTGAATACGTTTTTTCTTCAAGTTTGTTTATACACCTTGATGATGAGCATGAATAGGCTTAAAACCTACAATTACAACCTCCTGTCTATTTAATTTCATTATCTGACAATAAAAGGTAATCAATTCACCACAGAGTGTCGTATTAATACCCTGATGTAAGGCTACATTTAGAAATTAGCTTTCCATAGACTTCATTCAGCATTGAGATATCAATGACTACTTTTCGGTAGCTTTATCCTCTACGCTATAAAACAATGGTAACATTATCATGCTGCATAGTTTTGATTTGTAGATGTTGTAGGGAATAGGACTGAGTGCTGACCGAAATCTATCAACTAATTGCGCAATATGATCAGGAATCGGAAAGACTAGTTTGTTGAAGTCAATTAGCAGGAAACTGTTGATCTTGGTTTGGCGCTTTTATCAACATTTGTCAGTAAGATGTATCTGCAACCTTGAATAACGTGATACCCTCCATCAGTGATTCGAACCAACGTTACCTACATCTTCATTTAGAAAAAACCTAAAATTCAATAATTAGCGAAGAGAAATCTTCAATAAATTCACTCTAAGGCTGTACATTAGTACATGTAAATGTGATATTTAAAGGCTGAAATCGCTAAAGTAACCAGAGACTGAAATAAACATAATGTAGTTGTAGTTATAACAATGTTGCTAGCTGATGACGTAATAGTTGGATGATAACTGAAAGAGGTTACGAAAGATTTATTTAGGTCTTTCGTAGGGTCCATAGAGTCTAGAAAAGCGTGAAAATATGGAAGAGTTAGTAAACAATCAAAGAATTAGTTAATGCGAATGAGAGGAATTAATCGAGACATACTGGGAATGTTTTGTTGGAAGTTGTAATTATTAAGAAGACCCAATGAATTAACACTGGAAACTATCAAATATAAGCATAATAATAACGACGATATAAGAGTACAAAGATGAACCTAATTATTAATTCCTTTTTTACTTATTCACGTTTACCCTATCCGATGTTCCCCTTTTTATCTTCAATTTTATACTACTTACTATTTTGAGTAGTATAGTTCATGTTTATTAATGTTGCTTTACGCGCTATCCTAACTGTTCTGTTTCATCGTATCTTGTCCATCTTTTAACATTCATACATATCAGTATCTTTCATAGTTCATGATGCTCTAGTAATTTCTTTCTTTATTCTCTGGTGTTCTATTTCACCCTGAACATCTGTTTATCTTACATCTTTACCTCATCGTCAGAACTAACGCGCGTCTTTTATATTCCCTTTTGGTTGCTTGGACAGAGCCTAGATGTTTTTAATGTAGATGCATTCTTTGCAAGTGTTTTGATAGTGATAAACCCACAGACATCTCACGATTCGAGGTTTCTGTTTTACTACTCATTATTGCCTGTTAATATAGAACCGCATTTCAGACAAATCTTATGTGTTGGATTTTACGCGGAACTCGAAAGTTTTGTTTATTATTGAGAAGTCGCTTGCTCGAGATATGGTTCCGAATATCTCGGAAAGAAAATCACACTAATGAAAAGAGAAGTCGGATAGAAAACAACAAACCAAGACCACATTAGGTATAGAGACAGAAACTGTACATCCTTCTTTTGCACACAAGAGTTGGGCTTCAGTTCACGAATAGACATGGCCTCTGCTATTTTGTGTTTTGCAGAAAACGTGAAATGTTTGAGGGGAATTTTAAAAAAACAACCTTAAAATCATTGTTCTGATCGGTTGAACGGATTAAATGTTCAACAAAAGAACTTCTAATGCATTTACAAACAGACTTGATGGCTAATTTCTCATGTCATTCACCCATACTTCATTCGGCATATACTAATTGCATTCGGCAGATACATAAGGAGGAGGTTTACTTTGAAAGTATTGGGTTTTATTTAGGTTCGCTTTTTCCCAAGTAATCTTCAAAATTACCACCTGTAGATTCCAAAAGATCAGTTCTCATGTGGTTAGACTACTTCTTACAAATAATTATTTCAGTGTTAAGGTGGGAATATTCTCTTCTGTTCGCTTTAACTGGTAGATCAAAGGAGTAATCGGAGAATCCCATACAAACACCTCATTCTATGTGAATCTGTTCACATGATTAATAGGTGGTTATATTCAGAAAGAAGTTTGACGACATTTTGAAAGCATAAACAACTATTGTGTGTCGAAATCATTGAGTAAATTTTACTATTATTTGTCCCCTGGATGCCTAATGGAACATAGGGCTTCACTAACACGTCTCCATTCCACTCTCTTCTCTCCAGTCTTTTCAACCTAGCACCACGACTGCCCACAAACTCTCATTTCTTCATCACACGATCTACTCTATCTCACCCTCACCTGCGACGCCCAACTCCTCGTTCCCCATCTCATTTCCACTCGAGTGCCTGGCCTGGCACGTGATATCCCCAAATGGTATTCTCACTGCATACCCAATCCAATACATCTCAACTTCCTTACAATGCATATTTCTTCACCGACAACTTCTTGCTCTTGCTTCGTTACCAGACAGCCAGTCAGCCAACCAACCAGAGTTCCTTCTTCTTATTATTCAGTAATGAGCCAGCCTATGCAGTTGTTGATCAATATCTGTAGTTTGTTCGAAATGCTTTTCGTGACTCGCCAACTCTCTCAACCATCACATACAAGCACTGACTGACTTCACTGAATTACTATTGAAAATCTGGATGTTGTTCACACACGCTTTATGCTGAGTGCAGTGTAATGTAGTGCAGTGGAGTGCAGTGCAGTGCAGAAGATCTGCACACTGACTTCAGATTAGTGAAGACCTGTCTTGCTGTCTTTCCGATCCTCGCTGGCTGGTTGGCTTTGACGTCCTCGTCTGTGCCGCCGTCACCACCTGTAGTTGAAACGATGCTGCCCTGCCTACATAGGTGGTAGGTGAAAGAGGCTACTTCCTTCACATTTCTCCCTTTCTTGCTGATTGGTGCCTCTTGTTGATGCTGTTGTTGGTTGGGTATCTTCATCACCTCTGTCTTCTCTACATTCACTTGAAGTCCAGTCTTAGCTGCCTGTTCTGTCAACTTGTTGGTTTTCGCCTGTAGATCTTCGAGTTTGTGCGACATGAGATAGACATAAATCATCATTGGCGAAATCCAAATCTTCTAGTATCTTTCCCTCGGTCAATCCAGCGTATGCCCCTCTTCTCGCTCCTCACAGTTGTTTGTGGCATGATCCAGTCGAGTCGACCACAATCAGGAAGATCATGGGTGATAGAAGGCGGCAGCCTCGTCTTACTCCCGTCTCCAATTTAAAAGCGTCACTGACCTTTCCATTGTCAATCACTTCGCATGTAGCATCATATAGGATATAACTGCTATTGAATGAGGTTGATAAAGATATGTTGCACTAAAACCATAGTGCTGAAGCAGTTTCCGGATAACTTCTCCGTCGACGACGCCGAAGGCCTTTTCAAAATCGATGAGGTTGAGGTAGAGTTGAGTTGACTGCCATTCTCTACTGTTCTATGATGATCCGTAGCGTTGTAATTTGATGCGCACATGATTGGTTCTTCCTGAAGCTAGTCTGTTTCAGTAAATTTTAGACTTGGTATATTTGATAGAGACTTTCAAATTACTGGTTTCCTACTTAATGTCGTCAAATCAACTATAGATTGATAGTTAATAATGAATAGGGGATAGTACTGGGATCCAGAACACAGGATTTATCCAATCCTCAACTTGCCAGCTGGATGTACCTGCCTTTAAGTAGGTCTTGTTCCTACTGAGTCCAGAACTCACCACAGGAGCCAATAGTCATCGATCAGTTCTATCCAAACACCAATGAGAAACTAAAAGCCATAGGTTTAACTACAGCTTGGTTTGAAATAATCTTGACTGATGGTATATTTTCGATAGATAATGTCCTTCATGAGCATTATTCTAAATGGATTACTCGATCAACCTAGGTATGATGAGCACTTCAGAAACGAAATCCTATGATTACTTTCTATAAGCATTCCAGCATTCTTAGTAGCATATAATTTATGTGGATTCAAGTTAAATCTATTTAAGCCCACCATCGTTTAGCGAGATGACTATTTTGCGCTTGCAGTTAGACTTTATTTTCATTAGAATGTAGTGAATTCATCCAAGCTGGTAATCACTTCACGTCGATAGGTGAAGTGGGGTTCGAACTCATGATCTACTGTTGAAAACCATCTCAATTTAGTCAGAAACTCTTCTAGTCACATGAAAATCATTTTCTACACGCCTATATTTCAAATAACCACCTTACAAAATTTGTAACAGATGTTGTGTAAATAGTCAGTTCTGCTGAAGTCAATAGTAGTTGCGCCATAGTACGAATTATCTATCCTAAATTCAATATGAAGGCAGTAATTATATACTCTCACCTAGGTGTTTTGGAGGTTAAACACTCAGCATTGTCCACCTCTACCAATATATAGAATCGAAATTATACTTCAGGGTAAGCATTTCATTGTTAACTTACTGAGATAGAATCCACTAGTAAGCACTTCCAAATCTAATCAATTTGTCCTAAAGCTTAACAGTGGTGTAACACAGTTAACGTACACCTATCCTTAGATAGATAGTCGAAATGAACCTCTAACACAGATGCATCGGTTCAATTTATCATACATCATGGTAGTATACAAAGAACAAATGTATATCAAAAGAAAATAAGGGTGCCAAAGAGAAAAGGGGAATATAAAAATGAAGGCTATTTCATCAACAACCCTCAATC